CAGATACTGCGAGCGCATGCTTTGACTTATGCTTCGTGCTGCCACAGATCAAGCAACGGTTACCTTTTTGCGCCGGTTCTGGAGCTTTGCAGTCGGCCGCTCGATGACCATGCCTGTAGCAGCGGAAGCACCCCTGTGATCTTCCAGTCCTCTTGTGTAGTCGATCAGTGGTAGAAGAGGTGGCTTGGAAGTTTGTAGGGCCGAAGGGATCAACAGGAATAGTGGTCGAGGTTACCGTCGTCGAAATGGAAGAAGGATCAGATGCCTGCGGTTGGCGCTTGTGGAGGACTCTGCCGATGGACTGAACAGCGCTGCGAAAGATAGCATAAGACATGCTAGTAGTGTCCCGGCGCATGGTGAGCTCGTCACGCAGAACAGGCTGAACAGCTGACAAGAGCTGACCTATCTTCTGGTCATCAGTGAGGTCTACACCAACAGTCGCTTCATAGTCGATGAGAGTGTATTCGAACCTCGTGAGGAAGTCGTCGATAGGCTCAGAAGGTCCTTGACGTTGTTCAGAGTAGGTTGTGATGACAGTACGAATTGCAGTGGAGTTCAAGTAGAGTGCGTCCAGACGCTCCCAGATACGGTCAACTGGGAGAGAGCAGGCGTCTGTTGGTATCGCGAGAACTTTCTGTACCTCACGCAAGGCGACCCCACCCAGGTAGCGGAGAGTATAGTAATAGAAAGCCATCGTATCGAAGTTGTGGACCAGCTTCATGCGGAACATGTCATTCTTGAAACTGACGTAGGACTCAGAAGGACCGCCATTAAAAGAACCAGAATGGGGGGCAGTAGCTTGATATGCCCATTGTTGTGCACGTCGGGCTGTCTCACTTCTCGAGGGTGTGATGGTAGGTCTGGCCTGCGTATTGATAGCCATTGGTTGATTGCTCGTTTGAGCGGAAGTTGAGGTGTCTGATGAGACAGAGGGATGTGCCCACTGAATACAATCAAGGTGATAATGTAGCTCAGCTTGCACTGTGGTAGCATTCAAGAAGCTACGAGGAAGCTCTGGGATACGATAAAGGACCATAACAAGACGTTGCGAGAGGAGAAGAGCGACCGGGGCTGCGTAGTCTGCACCGTGGCCATCACGTTGGGCACAATACTTAGTCCAAGAGATTAGCATATGGTAAGAGGCCGTGTATAGGTCGGCAGTCATATGCTGGGCAAAAGTCGAATCAACCGGGGTAGATGCAGCAATACCATTGGAGACTAGGCAAGTGAGCACTGTACTCTGCTCAAGCAGGTAAGTCATTCGGCTCGCTACAACATGACGTGATAGCAGACCAACCAGGATATTTGTCAGAGCAGCGTCGAACTCTTGTCCATCTGTGGGGGAGAAGCGCAGGTTATCGTGAAGTAGAGGGGGAACACGTCCAGGAAGGAGAGCAGGTAAGCTGTCGTAAAGGGTACGACACTCGCGATGAGCTTGAGGTTGCCCGGGTTCTCCACCATTTTGTAAGGGGACTGTAGAACCCAACATAGAAGTGTAGGTGACACCAGATAGGTAAAAACCGTCGAACGGAATAAAATCCTTGAGGTATCTCGAGCAACATCTGTCTCGTCTCATCTGTCGCGTCTCATATAAATAGCGCACGTCATTTTAGGTAAGACGCGTGCATGTGACTTATGACAGGTGACGTACAGATCACGGTTCAGATGTGCCCTTACAACAGCTCTCCTGCACTACGCGGAATCGGTGGAGTAGGTTTCCTAGTCCATCCCAATGTCAGGGTTCAGTCGTGGCTATCTATTTCAAATAGAATAGCTCACATCACGCTGAACAGTGGCATAACCATTGTTGTGTGCTACGCTCTCACAGAGGTAGCGCTGCAGGGTCAAAAGGATGAGTTTTGGGATGTTGTCGGAGAAGTGGTGAGACTAGAACGTCCGGAAATTGTCTGCGGTGACTTCAACGCCAGGCTAGGTTCAGATCTCACGAGGGATTCGATCCACGGCCTCGGCAAGGCTTATGCCTATGAGGAGACCAATGACAATGGATGGAGACTAGTCATGCTTGACTGCTGCCTCACATATGGGCCATGCAGCGAGTCATTTTCTCAAGCCCCAAACTCACCTTGGGAGTTTTGGCTTAGCCCGGTAGAGAACTGCTGGCATCAGCTAGATCACTTTCTGATCCGGAGCAACAGGAAACTACAAGTGTTGGATGTTCGTGTGAGACGGACAGTCATGGGGTCATCTGATCACTGTGCACTAGAACTCTCATTTCGTAACACAGCAACTTGTCGGCCCACCCGGCGTCTCCAAGGACGGAAACTAGCCTCACGTGCTATCGTTGATAGACGGGCTTTTAATGCGAAGGTCCGCGAAAAGGAAGCCCAGCATGAGTTCGAGATGGATATAATCCATACTTGTCCTCAGGATCGTGCCTACTCAGACGTAGTCCATGCATTTCAAGCTTCCATGCTAAGCTGGATGGGGTGAAATCTTGTCCTGGAAAGCCCTGGTTCTCTGCATCTCATGTTGCAGCTGCAATTAGCAAGAAAAGGCTGAAATGGAAGGCATTCCTATCTAGGAAGACGCCAGAAGCTTTCAAGTCATACCGCGAAGCTCGCAGTCACGTGGTTGCAGTAGTGAAAAAAGCTAAAGTCGATTTTATAGAGCTGAAGTGCTCTCAGATTGAGAACGCGGAAGCTCAACACGCTGTTGGGGATGTCAAGCGCCTCATCAACGAGTTGAAATCTGGTCTAGGCTTCACACTGACCCACGGATGACATGATCTCCTCTCTCCGCAGGTGTTTGCAAGTCATTTTACGCAACTATTTGCGCCGCAAGCTTGCACTCTATCTGTCCTGGAGCCAGTCGACCCTCCAATGGAGCGCACGGGGGGGGATGACATCAACTTGGATGAGGTGAAGGACTCTCTCTGCTCTATGGATAATGGTAAAGCTTCCGGAGCAAATGGAGGCTCACATCAGCTTTGAAAGCCGGTGGTGAGCATTATCTGAGGATCTTATACCGCTTGTGCAAAGAGTGATGGAGTGAACCGGAGACTATTCCCAGAGTTTTCAGCTAGTGAATCACTACACCGTAATACTGTTGCACAGGTTCAAACTCAGGAAGGTTTATCTGACCCTCTCAATAAATATGGGAACTAGACAGGGGTGCCGAATAGCGCCTCTTCTGTTCATCGTATTCATGGAAATGGTGATCAGAGAAGCCAACCTGGATATCAGCTTGAGCATGCCTTGCGAGAGCGAGGGCAGTACGGAATCCGTGGACCTCTCATGTCTCCTGTTCGCGGACGACATCGTTTTATTGGTGGATGATGATTCTACCCTTCAGCGTAACCTGGATAAGCTTTCGGCAGCTCTGACTAGGTTTGGCATGGAAGTGTCCTTACTCAAGACGAAATGCATGATCTTATCTGAGGGATTGGGTTCTGCGTAGGGGCTGGTTCCATCAGACGTTCTGCTTTTTGGGCCCAGCCTCTGGGGGTTTTTAGTGGGTATGGTCATGCGAGTCCCACAGTATCCTTCTGAGGGCCACACCTCCTAGGGTTCTCCGTAACGGGATTTTCCCCCCACAGGCTGGTATATGCGTCAAAAAAAGGCACGATAGTTAACATAACAACCGTCTTTCACACTAGCTATACACGAGACCGCTGTGGAAGGTGGGCCGTAGAATAAACTCGCTGGCAATGGTCATTGGTAGTTCTTCAGAGCAGTCTCAACGATAGAACCCACGGAGACTGCCATTCTGGAGGCCCGTATCTCGGCACAGGCTTCCTTCTCTTCTTCACCACAGCACCGATCTCTTCACATACGACCGTCAGAGTGGTGCTAACTGCTATAAACACCGAGTTGCCGATCCTATCCTTGACTTGCTAGGAGAGCGAACCGAGTAAGTGCGCCTCCGTCAGACACTCTATCGCCAACGCCGAGCAGAGTTCTTCAGCGACTGGTGCAGACGAAGCAAGGCCCTTGATCGAAATAGCAACGTCGTCTTTCAGAGCGATCTCTACCGGTGGCTCGTTGACCTCGACCTCGTCTTCGTTAGTGCCGTTGGTTTTAGAAAGAAATGGACATGCCGAGCGTCGGCGATGCGTCACTAACTGCGAGAGTCCAGTTTCATCATTTCGTACGCATTGAAACACGGTGTACGATCCGGGGCCTATTTCACAAGAAATGCTCCTTAAGGTGCACCTTGGATTTAGCAATTAGGAGCAAAGAGCTTCACTCCTTACGCGAGGTGCTTTTACTACAGTTGCACCTTATGCTCTTTATGCTCCTAGATTTGAGATGCACTTCGTGAACCTCAATAAGGAGCACGAGAAGCGCCTAAACAAACACCGATGCGCATAAAAGAGTCGACGCAGTGTTTCAATCAAGCTAAGAATATGGAATTTTTCCATTGGATATGACAAACTCGAAAACTCTACCATCAACTCGCTTGAGGGCAATCGGTCATGACCGTAAATCACTGAAACGCCAAGTCGAATATGTGGTGAAACTGCATGATTCAGGTATAGATCATCCGCGGGTGAGACGCGCGGGCTGTCGGGAATAAGCGGAGCGAAGCCCGTTAAAATGGTAAGGAGAGTGCGATAAAGTGCATAAAGTATTTCAAATATTACTCGCGTTTGTGGAACACAACACCCTGGATATAGGGTTGAGTCAACTTAGTATATACAGATCAATGAAATAGCCCTAAGCTACGGGGTGAGCTATGGGGACAGCTATATCACAATATGCTCCACAGGCTACCCCCTCCAAAGATTGAGAGAGAATAGATTACTTGGGCGTGCGCGGCATACATAGACCAATGAACGAAACGGCTGGGCTCAATCATCCCTCCCCTCGGGGGCCTATTTCACAAGCCATCATAAGGAGCGAAAATTGTAAGGTACCTTACGGTTTGATGGCAAGTCGCTTTCACATCCTTACGATTTTGGGGGTTGGCGTAAGGTGAGGTGGCATAAGGCTCCTCACCGTAAGGCTCCTTACCCTACAAGGAGCAAGGAGGGCCTCCTCATGTAAGGCGATTTCATAGGAGGCATTTTTAGGCCCCTCCTTGCGATCCTTACGTAAGATGCCGTAAGACTGCTCGGGGGGGTACTTTACGCACCTTATCGCACCCTCCTTACCATTTTATACGAGCTTCGCTCCGCTTACTCCCGACAGTCCGCGCGTCTCACCCGCGGATGATCTATCCCCAAACCATGCATTTTCACCGCATACTCGTCTTGGCGTTTCAGCGATCTACGATCATGACCGATTGCTCTCAAATGAGTTGATGGTAAAGTTTTCGAGTTTGCTTTTTCTAATGGCAATAACCATATCCTTAGCTTCATTGAAACACTGCGTCGACTCTTTCATGCGCATTGGTGTTTGTTTAGGTGCTCCTCGTGCTCCTTATTGGGGTTCACGAGGTGCACCTTAAATTTAGGAGCATAAGGAGCATAAGGTGCAACTGTAGTGAAAGCACCTCGCGTAAGGTGTAAGGCTCCTTGCCCCTTGCTCCTAAATCCAAGGTGCACCTTGAGGAGCGTTTCTTGTGAAATAGGCCCAAATCGCTTCTTCTTTCGAGGACGTCCTAAATATCCTGGTTGGTAGAAATCTTCTTCGAGTTGAACTCGATGTGAGCTTGATATACAATTGACCACATCATCCTCCTTCTTGTAATCGGTGAAGTCTTCTCGTAGGTCACCATCATATCCAAGGGTGGATGCCGAGTCAGCTGATCACTGGGGTTCTCCTTGCC